GCCAAATGCCCGGCTGCCCGGTACCGGTCCGCGTACCGGCGGTTGGGGACCCCTGTGCTAAACCAGCTGATCATAGGGTCCCATAGTGCAAGTCAGAGGTGGGGAATACAGTTTTCGAACAGGCCACACAATTTAATTGTGTAATCTGCAATATGATTTTCTAAAATAGAAAATTGTATTGTTTTAATACTTTTTAATACTTTTTAAATTTTTTTAGACCTACTCTTATTTCTTTACATTTCAATGTTTCAAAATTTTCTCTTCATGTGTTTATGTAGTTTGTGTTTTGTTCTTTTAGCCATTTATGTAAGCTTATTTTGTTTTCTTTGCTTGTCAATGCTTGGTTGGCGCTGTGTCTTTGCTTGTGTGAATCACACCAAGTTGCCTTGTGTATGAAATATGCTATGTAAGTGAAGCTGTCTTATCTATCGATCGATTATGATAGGTAAAATGAAGAGAGGGAGACCTGAGCCACAGCAGCCTTGTGCTTCTTCATAAGCTCATTCAAATCTTCCTGGTCTTCCTCCATTCTTGTCTGCAAGTCATTCTTTTCCCTTTGAAGACGACTCAGCTGTTCCTCCAGCTGGAGTGCAAGAACAAACACCAAGACAATACATTTATCCTAAGTATGTCAGACAACAGAGAAAGGCTCATCTAGGAACTAAAAGCCAGAGGTGGGCATTTACATCCGTCATCACCAGTACCGACGGAAGGTCTGTTGGTCCGTCAATGATGGGCTCCCATTTTTGCTGACGACTGGTGTTGGTAATACCGCCATATAGACTAACGGCGTTAGGAAACTCCGTTGTTTTTTCTTTCTTTTTTTTTAAATTAATGGAGTAATTTAACTGATTATTTCTCCCATTGTCGAAACACCATTATCATTATTGTACTTTAAATACGATGTGTTACACTTAATCTATTACCGTATTTTCTGCATTTATAAGTGCACTTTCGATGAATGGCCTGTCTTAAAACAGTTTTCATATATAGGGCACACCACATTATAAGGCACATAGAATAGAAGCAACAATAGTGGCTACGGTTGCGCTATGCATCCACTAGATGGTGATATGCTAAAGGAAATACAATACAATACAACACATTACAGCTTTATTTATATCGAGCCTTCACAACCGCTGCAGCTGTCACAAAGCTATGAGAACTGGTCACAAACACGGACATTTTAACGGAATTACAAAACAATAAATGAATGAGAAAAAAAAAAGTTATAAAGGCAATTGAAAAGGCACACAAACCTCGTGGGCTCACATCCACAAAGGGCTAAATATCCTTAGAAATCTTGCTTGTCTCCGCCTTTCTTCGTTTAGTCAGTAGTTTACTAAGCTTTTGGTATTTTCTTCATTTCATAATGGCTGCACAGAGCTCACAAAGTAGTTGTCTGGTTGATTGTGTGGTGGCGAATGCATATGCATATAGCTTCTAGTAAGCAGCAGATGTTGCAGACCGACAACCGTCTGTTTCAACACCTGTAAATGAAGGGCCTTTACAGCCCCAAGTTCAATTCCCTTGACAGACAAAGCTTTCTTCAAGGCGCAGTTTGTCGGCATACCCAATGTCAAAATTTAAAGACCCTAAGTTGATGTTCTATTAAACATACTTGTGAAAATGTGTGATTCCCACCTTGCATTTGATTGTGCGCATCTAGTGGTGAGGTAAAAGCTAAAAGGGAAACTAGTTTGACAAATTGACTGAGTTTATCTGTGCATTGACTGAGGGCATCTGTGTGCACTTCCTGCATGCTATCGACCATCAGGCCTTTACTTGAAACATTTCCCAGCTCTTGTGTCAATCACATTTTTATTATTCTCATTAATGATGACATGAACAAGACCGTAGAAATGTATTATAGTTTCTTACATTGAGAGATCGATAGAAAGGAATTAAACAGGACTCCACCAATCATGGAGGAATGGAGAGCAACTCAAAGAAGCCAAAGAAGATTGAAGTGGGACACCTGTTGAAGAACAGGTGTGTCCCTTAACCTCTAATGACTAGCAAAAGGGGAGAAAATGGTGCGACGTATCTACTGCTCTCCAGATGGTGAGGCTATATAAAAGTCTGACTAACGTGAGATCACCACCAATCATTCATCCCATATGTCATGATAGATTTATTTATTTCGACCCAGTAATGAATGGCATACCATGATTCGATGGTCAACTGCAAACTGCGGTGACGAGACCCTGAAAAACGACTTAAAAAGCTGAGGGAAGAGCAGAGGACAATACTGACCGCCTGTTTTGTTTTGGAGATGTCCTCCATTTGAACATGCAGATCTTCGATCTCCACCTCCATGCATTTACGGGATTTGACAGCAGCAGCACAAGTGAATTCGGACTCTTCCAGCTAGACAAAGAATCCAACAGAATAAGTAATTTATTTCGGAAAGTCTAGCGTATATGCACACAAATGTACAGACGATTACCTGGTTCTTTAGCTGCGCTATCTCTCGCTTGCTGGGTGCGTTGTTCTTGATGTGGTCTAACATGATCTGAGCATCAGCCAGCAAAGTCTTGGTCCTCTTCAGGTCTTTCCTCAGACGCTTCTCAGTCTCACTGTCACCACTTCTCACCTGAAGGTGCAAATAAGACTGGACTGATACAAATGAAGTCTGCAATATTCTTTACGTTTTATACATTTTATCAGAAATTGTAATTGTTAAACAGCATTAGTACAAATCAAAATTGAATTTGTATAAGAAATAAATAGTACAGTCAAACCTCAGAAGTTACTTGAATTTTTATGTTACAATGTTAATGTTTATGTTGAAATGTTTTATTTTTAGCAGTTTGTTTTTACAGTATTTTACATATTACCTGCTCTCTTATTACATGTCTATACAATTTATGGTGTAAAATAGAAAAAAAAATGCTTTAAAAAAAGTTGTTTTCGAGACTTGGAATGGATTAAAATGTATTACATTGATTACAATGGGAAACATGGTTTCGGTTTGCGAACAGCCTTCTGGAACGGATTATGGTCGAAGACCGAGGTATGACTGTATATGTAGAAGTTAATATAATTTCTGCTGTAGCTGCCTCTGTATGAATCTGTCAGCTGGTACGTTCCCTTTGTCATTACAGTAGAATAAAGGGGACGTGCGGAAAATTGACTTTGTATTTGCTTACGTACTGAGCAAAATACATTCAAATGGTGCCGGGTCGGGTCTCAGGAGTGGCTGCCCATCTATCAAGTGTGAAATTAGACAAGCCACCACATTTTGTGGGAGCACCTTGTTTCCGAAGAGGTCTGTGTGTGTTAGCTACCGATGCACAATTCCAATTTAAATAGCAGTGCACCCATGACAAAGCTAGGCGAAGATCTTTCATTTATAAGTATATGATATGGAAACACAAGCTTGTCAAAGCAAAAAGCTAAGCCGAGCTGCTGTCAGATGTTAAAATTAGACACAAACTGTAGCTCTGCTAATCCAAACATTGCTTTGTTGAAATTTGTAATTTTGGTATGCGATGTTTAAAGGACATTTCCATTTAGCCACTGGATATTTAATGATACCCCAATAATCATTCATCAACCTGTACCTTGTCCTGGGCTGATAGGAACTTTGACTCCATCTCTCGTTTCTCTTTGAGAACCTTCTGCTTCTCATCATACTCTTCCTCAAGCTGAACTTCCATTTGTTTTAACTAGACAAACACAGAAACATTTACAGTGTACCAACACAGATACAGTTTTGTGTCATCAATATGAAAGTTCACGTTAGAATTCTTCTTCTTCTGTAATGTTAACAAGTGTAAAAAAAAAAAAAAAAAAAAAAAAGCAAAAAAAAAACCCCAAAACTAAATGGTAATAATTTTCATCCACAGGCATGCACACAAACACACAAAAGACAAAAAGCACTTTTATATTGTACCTCCTCTATTGGTGATGGGAATTCCAGCTCTTTTCAAGCAACTCGCTCTATTAAAGCAACAACTTTGCAGTTTCCCAAAAGAACCATTCTGATTTTTTTTTTTGTTGCTTTAATTTATTACCAAAACTAACAACAATATGCTCATGGGCATTAAAAATAAAAATGTACTTTTTTAATATTTATTATTCACAACTATGCCTTTATTTATTCACTCTAAAATGTCCTGCAAAAAATATTAAGTACAAAAAAGATGAACTAACAACCCAATTCCAATGAAGTTGGGATGTTGTGTATAACATAAATGCATAAAGTATATATTGGGACTGATCAACTTTGAAAAATAATCTAATTTTTTTTTTTTTTTTTTAAATGAACCACTTTACCTTCTTGCTGCATGACTGTCTGATTTCCTCAACCTCATCATCTTTGCTCTCTATATCCTTGGAATGGGTGTGGCGCAAACGTTCCATCTCCATCTCAAGACGTAATTTAGCCTAGAAAAAAAAAGATTAGACGTAAATACATACCATTTGTCGACAATGCAGCATTGACATTTTCATTTTGTAGTTGAAGGTGATATTCATTGGAAACTTATAGAAGGGATAACAATTCTACATACTACTGTTCAAATGTCAGGTTTTTGTGATATAAAAAAAGGAGACCACGATCAATAATTTCAAATCTTTTTCCACCATCTATGCAACCTACAACATCCATCCATGTGTCCATTTTTAACACCGCTTATCCCTCGAGGACCCTGGGAATGCCTTGGGATCCCCTGGAAAGAGCTGGAAGAAGTGGCTGGGGAGAGGGAAGTCTGGGCTTCCCTACTAAAGCTGCTGCCCCCGCGTCCCGACCCCGGATAAGCGGAATAAAATGGATGGATGGATATCCTGTTCAGGGTCGCAGGCAGCTGAGGCCTAACGCAGCTCATTTCGAGCGAAAGGCCGACCAAACCCTGAAGTGGTCGCCAGGCAGTCGCAGGGACCATGTAAAGACGAACAACCATTCACACTCACATTTACACCTTCACTGAGTGCAATCTGAACCCATGTGGCCTGCACACAAGTCAGGCAAGTGCACCACTACACTGTCAGTGACCAACCTATAATATATACATATCGGTTGAAACCCCCCAAAATTGGGAAAAAAATGATTGGAAAACTGTGCAATCGACTTGGAATGTGACTGTGTTGAGAATTAACCAATAACATTCAAACCCATGTTTAACGAGAGTAGGTACTCACCCGCCATCATTTGAAGTAGGGCTGCAACTAACGCTGACTTCAATAATGCATTCATCTATTGATTATTTTGTTGATTAACTGTTGAATCGGGTAAAGAAAACCATTAAATTTCCAATCCTTTACTCAAAAACATGACATTAGTTTAAAGTGACGGTGCAGAAACAAAATTTAATTATGATACAGTTACTGGTAGAGCTGAGCAACCCAGCCGCTGGGGGGCAGTGCCCTCCCCTGGGGGTGCACTGTTCCCCAGTGCCGGTCCCAAGCCCGGAGAAATGGGGAGGGTTGCGTCAGGAATGGCATCCGGCGTGAAACTTTTGCCAAGACGGCCATGCGAGTTGGTAGGACGGTTTACAGGGGCGGATGGAAATTACTGACTCGCTGTGGCGACCCCTGAATAGGGATGTGCCGAAAGGAGAAGAAGAAGAAGACTGGTAGAGCTGAGCGATATGACGATATGTATCGTATGATGAAATGTATTGGGACGATAGAAATGAGTCTATCATGTCATTTTTCTGCAATTATCGTCAACTGACATCTGCGGCAAATCACATGTTATGAGATTGTGGGAAAGCTTGATTTGACAGGCAAATACTTTTGCTGCACAATCATGTCCCACAACTGCCACCAGGTGGTAAACTAAACAACAATATGAGGCTGTGAATAGTTCAAAAAGATAAAAAATTAAAAATAGGTGACCTACGCATGACCTGCATCAGAGGAAGGTGTTAGCGGTCAGCAGTCTCCAATCGCAACTTGCGATCAGATCATTTTTTTGGTTTATTCTCATTCAAAGTTTGTTTCATCTGCAATTCACCGAGGGCACTGTCAAAGAATGTGAATCTGGAGTGCCAGGAGCGCCATTGTAAAACAGTTCTATTTGTTTTCAAATCTTTAAATGGCCTCTCTGTGCTCCTCCACCCTAACAGGTGCCTCAGGCCTGCAGACCAGACGCTACTGGCGCTGACCTTCCGTTAAATGTTAAACAAGTCCCCTCCCTGTCCCATTTTTAAAACTCGTTTGAAGATACATCTTTATTCTTTTGCTTTTGATCCAGTATGAGGCTCACACGGTTTTATTGTTTTCTGGTGTAATGTTACTGTACATGAGTTCGTATCACAAATTTGTTTTAATTGACTTTTGTATTGTTGTTATATGTAAAATGTTTTGTTACAGCTGCAGCTGTTGTGAAAGGCGTGATATCAATAAAGTTTTATTGTATTGTAACAGTCCTTACACTGCTTTAGCCATAGCGCCTCCTGTCTACAGTACATGACGGATGATGGGGATTACAATTATTGCGCATGCGCATCACAGACAGGAGCAGGGGGAGATGAGGCGCTTTCGAGGGAAAAACAAACCATCAAATAAATAAATTCATAAATAAACAACTTGCTGACTATGACATTAATTTGACACTTTTGATCTAGTCGTGACTAGTAGACTAATTTTAGCAGCCCTACTCAGAAAGGAAACCAACTTTTTGATGAGCTAAAATATGGTTAGCGCTTCTCTAATTCCAAATGTAAATTGCTTTGTTGGTCTGTAGCGTACCTGTTCCAACATCTGGATGGTTCCTGCTTGCTCATCAAGCTCCTCCTCCTGGTCCTTCACCTTTGCCTCCATGTCACGTAACTGCTTTCTCACCTGGATCACAAAAAATATCAAACATTTACTTCAAATAAAATGTAGATTTTGTAATATAAGGTAGATTTTCTTTTGGTATTTCAGAGAGAGCCATTAGCTCAGACGTATGCTAGATGTGATAAATGTGAGCTAAGACACATCTGTATATCGCAGTTGATTTATGCTTCAAAATCAGAGAGCAAAAGGACCTTGGCTAGTGATGCTTCATCCTTGGACTCTTGCGAGTTGAGATCCTGCAGCTCAGCCTCGAGCTGGTCCAATTTAAGATTGACTGCACACACCTCCAGGTCCTTGTCCTGTACAACCAAACAGAGAAGAAAAGAAGGCCAAGCAGGTCAGCATGAACATACAGTACAATACAAAAAATAGGAAGACCCACAAACCAATTATTGCGCGCCATTTTTTCCATGCATCGTGCCTTCAAGTGTGTTTTAAAGTGCTGTCCAGATTTGTTTTCAAGATCTTCCAAAATTATTACATGAGGATAACTATAATAAAAGGCTGGATAAAAAATTTTATCCAGGTATGCTTTATTTATTTCTGCGTCGATATGCTAAGTTAAGTGATTAAGAAGTGCAGTCCACGTTCACATATGCTTCATGAATCATGAAGTGATATCTGAGAAGTAGCAAAGCCACTTCATTCATGTTTATCAGTCTATATGATATATAGACTGGGTGATTACAAAGTGCAGTCAGTCCACATTACATACTGTACCATAATATGCAGAAAGTGGTAAAGCTACTAATTTGTTTACATTATTGTAATCGGCACTTTAGTTTGCGCCTTAACGATTTGCAGTAAAGTTTTTATTTACGTCACACCCGTGTGGCAGAATTATGTCGGTGGTGAACACTTACCAAACTGCAAGTCAAAGTATTTCCCAAGTTTATAACTGTAATTATAGTAAAATGACCTTCATATTAATTTATGCTTTATTTGTCTTTGCCTTAGGATCTAATACTGCTTGTTGTAATAAAGATTAATTGTTGAAAAGTAAGTACGTTAGAAAAGGACCTTGAAATAAAATAACCCCAAATCAAATGGCAATTGCAATTTAGAGGGAAAAAAAATTTGCAATTAGATTATTTTCTATAATCGTTCCGCCCTATTTTTCTTGCAAATAAGGTCATCTTCTAAATTATGTACTGTATCAGATCAAAGAGGTGTAAAAAACAAAAATGAAGATCTACTGTCTATTGTCTCATCTTTTAACGAACCTAAATGCTTTCATTCTGCATCTCAGAGAAATTTGCCACATGTTTCAATACATTTGGAGGGTTGTTTCTGCATCAACAATTCTGGTAAAGCGCCCAGTGATGTAAATAGACCCAATACAAACACGCTATAAAGAAGATGTGCAAATGGAGCAAGTGTACATACAGTACCTCAACCTGTTGTTTTAGACTGAAGACCTCTCCAGTCAGCATGTCTTTCTCTCTGGCCAGTTTCTCTCTGAAGGTCTTTTCCCTCTGGACCTCATCCTGGGCTGCACTAAGCTCGCTGTCAAACCTGCATATGAACACAAATAACACAGGTTCATAACATGAACAGACTAAGAAACAGACTATGTTGTGAGTTAAGGACATTCATCTTGTCTTGTATTGCAATTGTTTGTTTTTCTTTTCTAATTGTCTTAAGAAAAGAAAAAAAAACATTCATTAGGATCATGTTGCTACTCTGCTGACATTTCCAGTATGTGGCAAAAGAGACAGATGAGGTCAGGCAGTGTCTGAGAGTGCATTTTTTTATGCTTGGCTCGTATACTAACTTCCTCTGCTTCTTCTCCAGATCATGGTTACGGCTCTGTTGGCCCTCCAGGTGAAGTTTGGTGTCCTGCAGTTCGGCCGTGAGTCTCTGCGCTTTTTTCTTTAGCTGCTGGATATTTCGTTGCGATTCTTCATTATCTGCTTGTAGGTCGCTGATCTACACAAAGCCAGAAGAGAAAAACTGAGATTTAGATCTGCAATAACTCTATATTCTAACATCAAACCACATACAGTCATACCTCGGTTTTCGACCATAATCCGTTCCAGAAGGCTGTTCGAAAACCGATTTGTTCAAAAACCGAAACCACGCTCTTTAAAAAAAAAAAATCTCTATTGTACACGTCTGTTCACCATGGAACGCTAAACGAGGATGCTTCCTCGTCTACCCGAGGAGGCGTCACTTCCTCGAGTAAGGAAGGCGAGAGGAGTCAAGTGACGCATTCAAGTGCGCTCAGTTTGTTTGAGAACCGAAATTCGGTTGTCATCCGAGGCATAAAAAACTCGAATTTTTTGGTCGAAAACCGATTTGGTCGAGAACATAGACGTTCGAAAATCGAGGTTTGACTGTAATTGGACAAATGACTATAGCTGCTTTAATCCATTTTACATAAACCTCAGATCTACGTTACAAGTTACATTAGGGCCAGTTTAACAATCATCATTAAGTTGCATACAAGGCACTGGGGTTGTGAAAAAAAAAAAAAAAGATCTTCCTTTTGTCCACATTGATCAGCAAAGCTGACAGCAAAACAGCCGCGGAGCATGGTGACACCATAATATTTAACGGTACGGTCCGATGTCTCCTCTCTACTCCTCCCAGTAGATTTCTGTCAGGTTTGAAGGTCAGCAGTCTTCCCAGTCATTATCAGCCTATTCATTTTTAACTGGCAGTAAGACTGATTTGTGCATTGGTGGTTCCTGAGTTGACCATCGTAACTAATCTACATTCAAATGAATGTGACTTAGGGTTTTGCGGTACTAAATGAATAAATTAAATGCCTGAATTAGGTGCAAGGGGAAAGTCAATGTACACTCTTGAGAACAGATGCTAAAAGGAGTGCGAATGTGGCAACAGTTTATCAGACCATAGCGAGGAGAAGCTTGATAGATGGATACCTCCAGTTACAGTATATGCAGCTTCAAGAAAGGTATGTTGCCCCTTCAGAATGTTTTGGCTTTCTGCATAAATATAAAATGTTCAGGATTTTTTTTTTCTTAAATGCATAACACACAAGCAATTAAATGTTTTCATGTTTTTACTGAACACAGCTCTTAACCCTTTCATGCACCAATAATGATAAACTGTAACCTAATAACATGATAAGCTGTCTACTGTCGTAACCGTTGTCCCTGAAAGGGTTAAACATCACAGTGCAGAGAGGCCAACATATTGTGAACTGAACCAGAATTTGCAAATCATAGCTGCACAACAGAGGGCAGAGCACCTTTAATGTACCACCTCCAATCTCGTAACATTGATTGAACTTTATGTAGGCTGACTCCAGACTCCGATTAACTGCAGTCCAATTATTTTTTTTTTCCACCCTCCACTGTGAATGTTTTCATGTTGCGTCCAATGAAAATCATGACACCATAACTGTGTGGTATAATTTTAAGCAGGCTGTGTTGATTGCTGTGACTTTAGATGGGTGGTTCTTAATCTTTGTTTGATCGAACCCGAGAGGTTCAGTGAATCATTCTCAGGGGTTCGACAGAGCCTCTGCCATGGAGGTTAAGACACACTCGACTCAACATGTCAATTAGTTATGACACGCCTGCTTGGCAATCACTGGCTGGTTCATTTTGTGCACAATTAAAAAAAAGTGTGTTGAAAAAAAAATTCTATTTTTGTTTTTAATAAATGTGTTTTTTTATGTCTTGAATTTGTAAAAAAAAAAATCATATTTTTATTTTTAATTATATTACATTTTAATTATATTTTAAATTTTTTAATGAAGGGTTTGGTGAATGTGCCTATGAACTGGTTGGATGCCTCTAACAATTTGAAGAACCACTGCTTTAGATGAAGACCAGATTACATTATGTGACCAATTTATGCAGAAAACTAGGTCATTTCAAAGGGTTCGCACACTTTTCCTTGCAATGTCAATTAGTCAAAACAACCATTACTAGAATCAATGACTGTCAATCGTGTATGCCAATAGGTACATGATGCAATTATTCTCTTACCCTCCTCTCCAGCTGTCGTTTGTTCTGCTGCTCTACTTCCAGCTTGTCATCAAACTCCTGCTGCAGTCGCTTCTTGGTAAACTCAATTTCTCTGATGGCTCTTTCATACTTCAGCCTCCACTCCCCCCCTGTCACATAAGCACACTTATGGTTCACACACTTGAGAAAGTTGAATTTACCATTATGATTGTAATTTCAAAAACCAGGACTCAAAAACAGAATCTCATAGAGCGCATTCTGCAGACTGCTTGCCAGGATTCGGATTTCAGGGGTCCGGGAAATTATAACTGGGCCACTCCACCGAATCGGTTCCTTTTGCTTTTTGGGGAACAAAACTGGTTATCAGGAGGGAAAACTGTGTGTTAGAAACAAGTATTAAGAACATGTGATATGTGTGCGAGTGGGATTCTTAAGTTTATTGCCCATGTTTTTATAATTTGCTTTGAATCTCCTGACGCACAGCTCAAACACTGTTTAACTTTGTAAAACATTTTATCTGTGCTTCTAACTTGATTGATGAAAACAGCAACATCTCAGTTCTCTGTCCTGTTGCACAACTCCAGGACTCACTTGTCGACCAACAACTGCAATGGCATGAGAGCAAAGAATCTTGAGCGCTTGGATTGATTATGATTTGGTTTTACTGAAAAGCACCATTTGTTTTTGCATTTTCATTTTTTGCAGTTATTTTAGGGTATTTTATGTTTAATTTGATTCATTTTGGAATATTATTTAATACTGACCCTTTTAGTTCATACTCATGTTCAAAAAGTTTTCTTTTAGTGTCTTCAATCAGTCAATCAATATTGAGTTTGACATCAACAAAATACTTGTTTTATATGCAAAAATAAACTGTCACCAATGTTTGTCCACCAAGAAGGACTTGCGAAATCAAACTGGAGCTGCACCATAATGATTTTCAACAATAATAAATGATTAGCTCATCAGCAAGTTCTGTCGAGGCCTGAAATGGTCATGAACAATTTAATCAGGTGTGTTAGAGTTGCGAGGGATCTAAAAGCAGGCAGAATATGGCTCTCGGGGAACCCTACACCTGGCCTAGATCTAAAACAGGGGTGTCAAACATACGGCCCGCGGGCCGGGACCGGCCCGCAAGGAGGTTCAATCAGGCCCGCAGGATAATTTAAAAGTGAAAAAAAAATGCATAAAAGACACAGAATTAATATTTTTAATAAGGTGCAATTCATTGAATATCCGCAAGGGGACACTGTTTTGATCAGAGAAAAAGACAACAGCAGCCTCAGTCCGTCACTGAGACAGACCCATGACAGCAGACGCTATCAATAGCACTCTCACATTTACACATTTAATAGCACTCTCCTTAGTTTGTAAGGTGTAGGCAGGGATTACATTTAGATTTTATATGCACATGTAAATGGTTTAAAACTTCCTTTCTTTATAAATCTCGTTTAATCTTAAAGTGCATTACTATATTTTTCAATACCAATTACTTGTTAAAGTTTGTACAATCAGTGGGATCAGTTGCAATGCATATTTGTGAATGATAAAAGTAAATTGCACATTTGTCGAAGGAAATGTAAGGTGCTTCCTGTATCATTTTAATGGTCCGGCCCACTTGACATCTACCGAGGCCGTATTTGGCCCACCATGTGAAATGAGTTTGACACCCCTGATCTAAAACATAGATAAATATGAGCAGGAGTCTCTCCATATTAGTTATTCTTGCTGTTCTTCAGTCTTTGCACTTGTCTTACCTGATTCGTCATCATCCAGCACTCCATTGAGTTCAGAGGCCCTGATGAGACGAGCCTCCATCACTTCCATCTCCATGGATTCCATCTGTTTCTTCATGTTGTCAAACTGGGCCTAATGGGTACGTGAAAGAAAAAGATTGCTTTGAGCATATGCAAAAAAAGCCAAAGTACTGAGATAGCATTTTTGTTCGTTTGTTTGTTTTTCTGTGCAAAAATCCCAAAAATTTGGGTCAGAGTGAAGCTCGATCAATTTCTGACCCAAATTGGGTTATTTTTGACCCAGTACGGTTTGTTTGCCTGGTTAGATGAACACAGACTTGAACATTTACAGTAATGGTGTACAAAGTCGGAAGTGCGTACTTATTCAAACAACACTGAAACAGCATCTCTTTGCCCAGAACAGCACGGTACATTGTCACGCTAACCAACCACACAATAAGTTGAAATAAATGTGTTGTTATACACACATGTATCTTACAAGCAGGTGTGTGTGCGTGTGTGTGCGCGTGTGTGTGTGTGTCTGCGCGCGCATCTACCTGCAGGTCCTTCATGTCCTTCTCAAGACGGAGTCGCTCAGATGTTTCAGTTTCCAGGAGCTGGGAGGCCGACTCCCCTGTATTGCGCTCATCAGTCAACTCTGATGACAGCTCAGTGATCTGATCACACACACATACACGCACACGCACGCGCACACACACACACACACACACACATACTTCAGCACAGGTGCAACATCATTCAAAATAGAAGGAACATTTGTTTCTAGATTTTGATACTTTTGCACATTGTCTCACAGTTGTCACTGGGTGGTACCATCGCACTACGGTTCACTTACATTACGGAATGTCCTTCCATACTTATTTGTCATGTCCTTGTTATGATGATACTAATGCAGCGTGTTAGACCGGAGACAAATTCCTTGTGTGTTCTACATACTTGGCCAAAAAAGATGATTCTGATTCTGAGATCAGAAAATACAAATAAATATAAACCATTTTTCAAACCTTGGTATCTTGGTAAGAATTTATGTTACACACTACTTATCATCCATCCATCCATCCATCCATCCACTTTCTAGTCCGCTTATCCTCACAAGGGTCGCGGACATGCTGGGGCCGATCCCAGCTGTTTTCGGGCAGTAGGCGGGGTACACCCTGAACCAGTTGCCAGCCAATCGCAGGGCACACCGAGACGAACAACCATCTGCGCTCACACTCATAGCTGGGGACGATTTGGAGTGTTCAATCAGCCTGTCATGCATGTTTTTGGAATGTGGGAGGAAACCAGAGTACCCGGAGAAAACACACAGGCACAGGAACAACATGCAGACTCCACAAGTAAGACTGGAGCCAGAATCGAAGCCTGCACCTCTGCACTGTGAGGCCAATGTGCTGACCAGTCGACCATCGTGCTGCCACTTATCAAACCATTGTAATTAAGACCTGGGTTTTTTTTTTTGGTCTGTATTTTTGCAAGTTTACCCTGCTCTCAAGACGGTCACTGTTGAGTCTCAGTTCATTCCTTTCTTTCTCAACCTTCTCCAGCTTTTGTTTCAGCTGAAGGATCTCTTCCTAGAATAAGATGCATGTAGAAAATTAGTCCGTGTAGTCATCAATTCACTCATTTAAATGTTGAACTCTTTGTTATTAAATGATTTTGTTGGGAAATGAAATTCAAATAAAGCAGAAAACAGCTGATGGTATATGTTTTATGCTTACATCTTTTCCACGGATTTGTTCTTCAGTGAGTTGCACCTCAATTAGAGGTCTGACTGTCGTGAAAAGCTTCCACCATGGCCAGTCTTTGACCCCACGGTTCTTTTTGATGTTTTTCTGGATACAACGGATTGCTAAATCCTGGATCTGTCAGACAGAAACCATAGAGAATTGAAAGTCAGGTGACAAGAACAAAACAAGCCCGAATCGAAGAACACTAATAAATGTACAAGTTTGCTTGCTTGCTTTGTAGTATTTATACTGACGTTGAGTTCCTGAAATGATCATCGTTTCATAATTTTTTTCTCATAATGCCGCGGGGTAAGCGCATGCGCAAGTAAAAACGCCGCTGTTCAGTCTGTTTCAGTTGTGGAGCATGTTGTGCAAAGAACCTAGGTGTTACCTTTCCCTACATGTGTAACAATCTTACCTTCCTCTTTTTGAAAGCTTGCCTGGCCAAATAGCCCCTGCATGCACCCTGGAACAGAGAGATATTTCTTCTGGTCTGAACCACTCGCTGCTCCTCAAGCCTTGACAGAGTCCCTGCTCTGAAGAAAACCTGAGCGAGGAGAAGAGAAAAGCTTGACATCAGAGGGCATATAAAAGAACAAAACCCCAAGACATTAAGTTAAAGGCGCACGTCATACCTACCAAATCATATCTATGACTTTTGTTCAATGGAGCGAGTTCTGCCTTGCAGTAATGCACGGATCTCTCAATCATGCTATTATTGGTACAGTATACAGTTGTTGTTTTCATCATGCCTCTATCTATGGAGTATTACTGTCACAGGGCTGATAAAAGAATGTCATTATCCTCTACAACACCAAGCAAACCAGCAAGGTAAGTTTGGATAACTTTTGAAAGTTATTTTATTATTATTATTTTTTTTAAGAATAATCTTGTGCTGTATTGGAAATGTTTAGGTCAGAATAAAAGTACAACATCATTTACTACTCTATTCAGCGTTTTTAGATCAAGAAAGAAGTACTTCTTCAATTCAACAGACAATGGGCTCAAATTGAAATCCCCGCCCAATTAATCTGTTAAACCAACGTTCCACTGTACATACATGGTGAACTTGAGGATCTACACAATACCACACAGACAAGCTCATCAGTGGAGAAAATTGGAGGTAAAGTCATTCCTTGGACTTACACGGACGGGCTCACTAATCCTGACTGGTGTCACATGATCGCAGCAATGAAATGAATTCAGAAGTCTCCAGAAACTTCGACCTGCAGAAATGTTCTCTGCCAACGTAACCCATGTGTTACAATTTCTACAATTTTTGTAGATTTTTGCGTATTGTCATCTTTAAATCAAAGACAAAGCATAAAAATTGTGTGATATGAAATATTCAAATTCATGCTTTATTTATATCGATTTATATTTATGTTTTGGTCATAGCACAATACCGCTTTTATTGTCCATAGAGGGCAAAAATACAAAGAAAAAATAAGAACTATATGTGTATGTATAGCACTGATGCCACTGAACATGTCGAGTGGTTGAAAGTAAAATAAATATTCAGGAATAATACTTTTACAATTTTTGTAAAATTGTATGTTGCGTTATATAAACTTATTTACATCGACTGCAGCATATGGGTAAAGAAAGATGCAACCAAACAGACTGGGACATCCTTCGTCATGGGGCTAGATCATGACCCAAAACACTTCTCAAAAAGATGAATGAGTTCATACAGGGGCAGGTCATGGAAGGTGATGCGTCAAACCAAGAACTTGATGGGTAACAGGATTCGTATCGTTATTGCAATCAAAGAATTTGCAACTGAATTTTAAATATCACACTATCCTTTGCTCACAATCATTGTGAAATCTGATCAATGAAATTGAGTGGACATAACTGATGGCTGTAAATGAAAATTTTTGCAAGGGCCTAATCAATGTCTACACGAGAACGAAACAGTTCACCGATAAGCACATTTGTAATGTCAATGAAAAGAGTATGTCCTCCACTCACCTTGCTCAGTCCCATGTGGTAGTTGCTTTTCTCCAAATCCAAGGACTCCAGCAATTCCTCCACTGCCTGGAAACCAAAAATACAATCAGCTGACACATTTATATTAACAACTTAAATAAAATGACATTATTGCCTTTAGAATGTAGGGCTCGACTTACACCCAGATAAAATATATCTGCTATTGGAAGACAGGCGTACAGTGTCTACGTCGCTACTATGTGTGACAATTTATCTCTGGACATTGTTGATGATGTCACTCACAGCTCTCAAAATTGTTGCCAAAAGATGTTTTTCTTTTTTTCTTATTCAGGACATTTTATGTGGACGTATTTTACTATGGCTAATGTTTATGCTTATTTTCCAAATGTTTTCAAAGATTCACATCTGATTCATTTTCAGTGAAGACAGCAGGAGAGTGGAGAGCTCCTGGTCTAGCGCCCAGGCCTTTGACAGAGATTCACCTGGATCTCCTGACTGTAAGGTAGATGTGCACTAACCACTATCGTATCATGTAGTGAATATTGTACAATGGGAAAAAAAGGGCAAATGGCTATTATTTCATCCCTCACTTCAGATTTATGAACACAGAAAAATATTACACTCACCCTCTTCTCATCAGTCACAATGTAGTGACGGCCATGCTTCTTGGTCAAATGTGGTGCCAGGACATCAAAACGCCTTCGGAACTCAGAGAAGACCATGTGGTCTGGGTATCCTGAATGCAAGTTGGACGAATGACAGCAAAGTCAGCAAAACAGAAAACAGAATGTCAAGACAAAAGGGGCCTTTGCATCTCAAAAACAGGCAAATGCATCTTAAGTTTCTTGAGATGACCACAGACAGTTTGGGAAAAAGATTTTACCGCGTATACTACTCAATACTAAAATTACAGAACGATTGGTCAAATTGGGATAAGAACAAAATAGAAAAAAAAAATCCTTGGTCACTGAAATACCAACAAGAGAAATCTAACAAATCAATAAGATTTGCAAAAACGGTACGAACAACACTGTCAATTGTACAATGAATGCAGATAATTGCCAAATCTGATTCGTCAGGCATGTTTCTCAAATGTTTGAATATTTCACCTTTGTCACAAGAAGAAAAAGGTCAAAGTACACACTTATGTTTACACAAACAGCCTTAATAGTAAGCTCAAAACACATTGACCCATTCACAAACTGATTTGAATTATAATTTGTTTCGGGAGAAAACTATCTACCTTGTCTGTAGATGCGCAGCGCATCAAGCAGTTTCGATCCTCGGAGCTGAGCTCTGAGAAGACCCACATCCAACGTCATGAGGCCTGAATCGGCACTCTCTGCATGTGTAACACGCAGCTCGTTTCCTCCCACCACTGCCTCAGCTTTGGGCAGCAGGCAATGGACAAAATGGACTTTGGAGCGACGCACCATGTCAATCAGGGCATCCTAAAAGAAACACGTGTTTCAATTTCCTACTGCTTTTTCTCTCATATGACTTGATCCCACTGTTTTAGAAATCAATGGAGATTACCGGTACTGTAATCAACGCAACCAGGAGCTTACATTGTGGATACAATAGTATACCTCTGACCACCTCCCCTCCCATAAAAACAAACAGTTGGTGCAATTTGATTTCTGACAGTAAAATACTGAAGTAGACTCGATTATTACTGTATATATTTCTGCGCGAGTCTGTGTCTCTGAAGCCTTTGGAGTTGCTTTCAAGAGTTACCGCATTTGTGATGTGACGATATGACACTGGTGATAACAATAACAATAAAAATGTACTCACCTGTAAATAGTATGTTGTTGTTTGGCATATGGGTTTGTTTTTTTATTTTTATTTTTCAAGTGTGGTAAAGTGTATATGGTACTGTAAAATTGTGACTGAGTGAAGGTTTTACAGTATGTCATATTACAGAAAAAGCAATGTTGGATTATTGATTATTGAATTGTCTGGTTTCGTTGGCCTTTGCTTGACTGCATCGTCCCTGTTAAATAAAAGATGTGTGAACAATAGGGAAGTGTCCTGTGTTGTGTTTGTCGCCACGACCTGGGGCTGGCTGTGTCGTGAGTATTGTCAGCCCCAGTCCCTCGTGTGTTTTAGGTTAAACTACCTCTCGATTAGTCCAGCCAAATTAGTTCCTCGCCATAACCATCATCTATCCACTTCACTCGTGTCCATTATTCATTCACGTCTTTAGGGAACTTCGCCATAAATCATTTTGGTTCATTCATTTACAGTATTTACTTAGGCTGCACTAAGGCAGTGGGAATTTGGGAGTATTTACTCAAACATGGTCCCGCTGCGCTGTATCGCTTGTCCCCCACCCGTGCTAATACTCGCTTGAATTCCCCCCCCCCAGGATTTGTACTGATTTGAGTTTAGATAGGCCAAACTATGGCGGCACACCGCCAACAACTCCCACACTTATGTGAAGACATTTCCCCAGTTGCTATCATGTTGAGGGGTCGTAAGTAGCTAGCTAGCTAGATAGATAGATGTTTTGCTTGTTTGTTTGTTTTTACTTACCACTTGAAGTTTGACCTGAATACACAAACTCTTCTTCTTGACAGCAGCTACACCTGTAGTGAAGGTCTTCCTCATGCTAGTGGCCCGTCGCAGTGCTAGTTGTGAGCTTCCTTCCAGACCAGCAATGGAGCCTGATAACACCGTCGCCCCACTTGCTCGGCTCATAAACAACCCGCTGATGTTTTTCCTTTGGGGTGACACAAAGCATTATGTACAGTATGTAGTTTGAATAAAGGATTCACTTGGCTTTTACAAATAATAATACAAAACACAATCTGCACAATTTATACATTGCAAGCTTAAAGTTAGCGCTCCATGTGGTGGCTGGTTGGTGCGAGTTAGCAGTATGACTGATCCCTTTGAAGCAGTGATATAATACTAATATCAGAGGGTCTTACTTTTGGGAGTCTTGCAGCAGAGTCGCCGCGTTCTGGGCAGCAGGGTTATGCTTGGCATGGCTAAGCCAGCCTTGGGTATTATACTCCACCCAGTCCGTTCCATGACTGTGGCCCAACAGAAAGAGATGGGGTTTCTGTCCTCGCAGCAACAAACTGTTTCCTGAAATACAAAGTGTATTCATTCTTTATTATCTTTTTTGTCTATTCGTGTCTTGCATATTAGTCCCCCCAGGAATCTCCATAAAAATAGTGTTCATTCTGTGAAGAACAATCCTGATTCTGCAGAGAGCAAATCTTGATTCGACAGCTTGAAAGTTGTTTATCTGTGGGCATGAAAAAAAAAAACTGACCTAAAATGACCAGTTATAAAGCAAGTACATATACTAATGAGGTAAAAATTATTTTAGTACATTATCTGCAGAACCAAAATACTGTGGAACATTGTGGTTATAAAATAATCAACATCAGTATTCTCTGAGTACTTTTACAGCAGATTTAATAGATAATGATAATAATAATTAGAGCTGTCAGTTTAGCGCGTTATCGGCATTAATTTAAATGAATTTTAACGTGATAAAATTTTTTCTCGTGAGATTAATGCGGCAACACGTCGCAGCGGATGTTACCTTGGTCTATAAATAAACCGGAAACAAAACAACAAGCACGCTGCACAAGTCCACGTCCATGTCTGTTTTGCCAGCCATGGCAGTGCGAGACACCGAAAACGGATACTTAAAGAGTTTATGAATGGAAAGTTTACTTTTAAAAAGTTGCCAGATTGCTCCACTGACAAGACCAAAGTTACCTGTATGTTTTGCAGTCGTAAACTGAGCTATCAATGTAGCATGTCAAGTCTGAAATACCACTTAATGGCCAAGCACACAGCTAATGCGAGTACTCCGCCCCCTCGTCTAAGACAGGCAGCTATGGATAATTTCAAAGCGAAGAATATGGATAACACGAGAAAGAGCAAATTTGCTGAAGCCATAGCTAAATGTATGGCTACTGCATGCAAGCCTGTCAACATTGTCCACAGCTCGACTCAAGCTGAAATCATTCGCATTGCATCAAACGACTGCACTACGGATTGCCAGCGAGCACATCCATTAAAAGCTACAGAAATTGTAACGGTGAAAAAAACGTAGCGGTGAAGGCTAAGGTACACCAAACGGGAGAAGACACTGTTTCGGGAGAGAAATAAGAGACTAGGTTGATGAGCCTCTGGTGAATAAAGAGCAGGTAGCCTGTTGAGTACGATGTATGCCACTGACACAATTGTTACTTGTTTGGAACTATTTTGTGTGGAAGGTTACCATGTTCCGTGTCCATATAAATAAAGGGGGTGGAGCTTCTCTGTGTTCGTCTGACAGTGACGGTGCACTGAGGCACGTCGAGAGTTCAGCGGTGCAGTGGGAGCGACCACGCTGAAAATAAGAAGTGTTGTGCCTCGAACCAAGTGTAGTCATCCGAAATGATGTCTACACAAAAACACAGAGAGACTTCCGCGCAAGAAGGACCAACAGAATCAACATAGCCTGACTGATGTGTTCAAAGCAAACTTGAGAAAAACGAAGTATGCAACCATGGCTTAAATCTACAATAGGCTGAGTACTAGTTTACCTTAGATGTGCACTTTATAATTTTATATTGCTCTGTTTTGATTCCCTAAAAAGAGCTGT